TCCCGGTCTGTAGTGGTTGGGAGTCAAGAGCGTGAGCCACACTCGGGCTGGGCCTCCCCTTGGAGCTTCTACCTGACCCAGGGCAGGTGACTCAAACCTCCGAGGCCTCTGTTTCTTGTCTGCGGGGTGGGGGCAGCCACAGTGCCCCTCAAGGGTAGGATTGCAAGGAATTAAACAAGGACCCCCAGGTGAAGGCAAGAGGAGGCGGGAACCCCTGCCCCAGGTTCCCTTGGCCGCACAGCTGAGCTTCTGGAGGGCAGGAAGGGGGGCGCTGCAGCCAGCCAGGAAGAGAGAAAGTGGGGGGGCTAGGCGGAGGCCGCGGGGCAGGCCGCCTGCCGGTAAATAATTCACAGAGATGAACTGGAGATAAGTGCGGCTTCTTGGGGATTGAGTTCAAGTGGGAGGAGGCCCCGACGGCGGTAGGGGACTCTGGTGTACCCCGTCTGAGAGGGGAGACCTCGCAGGGCTCGGTCTGCCGGGAACGCAGCCCCAGGTGCCCGCTGGGGGCCACTCCCTGCCGCTGGCGGGAGCTCCCCGGAACTGCCCCGCGGGGCCGCCAGCCTGGCCCGCTGCCTCCGCCCCGCCGTCCCCATGGCAACCGGCTGGCCTGGTCCAGGGTTCATGGCCAACCGGATCCTCAGCCTCCCCTCCCCCGTGGCCTGTGGGAGGACCGGCTGCCAACAGCCCTAGAAAGCTCTCGTCCAACCCACCCTCCACCCCCCCACAGCGAAGCATTGCAACCAGGTCTTTGCGGTCTACCTTCCTGGGTCTCAGTCCCAGCTCCACGTGGGACTTTCTAGCTGTCCGACCCTACGCAGGTGACTTTGCTGCTCTGTGCCTCAGTTTCCCCTAATTGTAAACGGGGGCCAGTAATAACAGTAAGGGCCTTCTGAGGTGGTTGTGAAAATTAAATGAATTGAATGCAGTAACTTGGCTTCCAGTGCCCATAAATAGTATTTGCCATACTGAGAAATGGAGTCTGGGAAAGCAAGATGCAAGTGGGGGGGTGACCCCCCCACACCACAGTGTGTTTTTGGCACGTTTGAGATTAAGCAATGGCCATTGTGAAAAGCAATGGCCAGTCCTTTCTAAGACTGTGGGTGCAGCAGCACCCTGTTGGGGTTTCCCAGGGCTGCTCCTAAGCTTCCTATGGGACGCCTCCCACCCCTCCCCACCTCGCTGTCTTGCAACCGTCACTGACTAGGCAGTGAGGTCCCTGAAGGCCGGAAGAGGCCCTACTTTAGCCAGCCCTGTCTCCCCAGTGCCAAGCACAGCACCCACTCTGCCCCACCCCCACGCCTGGTGAGTGAGATGTTAAATGAATATGGATTTAGTTAATTTATTAGTTAATTTCCTTTACACAAACACCCTCTCAGAGCTCTTAGCCATCCGGCTCTCTGCCTTACATGAAGTCCCATTCCCTAACAGCTTCCTGTCATCACTGCTGGCCCCCAGCCCACCCCACCCCCATGGCCACTCTGTTAGGATTTCCATGGCACACTTCCCAGGTCCTCCTCCTTCTCCCTTCAGCCTGTCCTCCCTGACCTCCCTTCCCTTCAGTGACCCTTTGTCCTCAAAACAGCTGTTTCTGGGTCAAGGATCTTCTTCCAGGCCTCTGGATGTGCACCGCCCCTGGGGTTAAGGGCAAACCTCCAGTGTGAGGGGTAACAAGATAAACTAAATCTTCATCCCAGTAAGGGAGGGGTTGGGGTGGTGAGGCTGGGCTGTCCTTCTAAGATTTGCCAGCGAAGTCAGTGGCGGGGGCTGCAGACAAACCCTCTGTCCCTGGGGGCCACCCCACAAGCTCCAGCCCAGCTGCCAGGTTTCCCGGGATACAGCCTGGTCACTGAGGATTTATTTTTGCATATGGTTTGGGAGAATCTCTGTTGTTGGAATAATGACAACTTTTTTTTCCCCCTCTTCTTCCCTCCAATAGGCAGATTTTATAAACCAGAGCAGCTGCCTGAAGGTTTCCAAGAGAAAATTCTGCACAGTTTCTAACCAGGGTGACAGTTCCCCTCCACAGGAAGTTGCTTTTATTAAGTCTCTTTCTCTCTCTCTCTCTCTCTCTCTCTCTCTCTCTATCTCTTTTTTGTAAGACTCCATCTCTGGGTCATCAGCCAGCACTTTGGGCCTTGTGGGCATTTTTGTTTTCCCCGGTTTGCCTGGAACTTGTGATTACATCTAAACCACGGTGGACTTGCCCAACACAGGGGCAAAGGTTGAGGCCTAGCTCAATTCCCCTGGGCAGAAGAATCCCAAATAATTTATGGAAATACTCCCCCCTCAAGAAGGGGAACATAGCTCCTCCCCCATCCAAGTGTGGGTTATTATAGGCAGTAAGAATAGGGGGCTCTGCTTTAAATGGTCAGCTATATCCAGGACCCCAGAAAACACTTGGCAGCGCACATAAACCCCGGGCAAAGCCAGGAAATCCCCAGAGGGGAGAAGGCAATCCCCCACCTCAACCGTACAGGCAAGGAGAGGAAGTGCCTAGAAGGGGGATTCAGGCCTCCCTCCCCAACCTGCTGCCAGGGCAGATAAAACTGCACCCTAGGGGGACTGACTTAGAAACTCCTGCCTGCACTGGCAGCGGGAGCACCTACACAGTAACCCCAGAAAGGGAGGGGAATGAGCAACTCTCTGTACCCTACTCAAGCCAGGAGCCCCCCACCATTCTTCGAGGCTGTTCTTCCCTGGACTCTACCCTCCCAGACCTCTTCTTGAGTACACTGTCTCTAAATAAAATTTACTTTGCTTTGCCTAGAGGTGGCTTTGAATTCTTTCATGGCCATAGTCAAGAACCAAAGAACCCCAAAGCCCAGGAACAGATTACACCTACAATTTCCTTCCAATTATGAAAGTATGGAAAGGGGGTTAAGAAAGAGCAACTTTGCAAAGAGAGAGAAACTTAAACGCATCTTCAGCCAGTGATCAAGGTCAACTGCAGAAGTCAGGGTGATGTGATGAGGACAGTACTCGCCTCTGTGGCCTTCCTCCGAAACCCATAACTGACGAAACCATCAGAGAAATCCCAAGGAGGGAGTGTCTACTAAATGCCCATCTAAATCACACAGTCTGAGAAACTATCACAGCCGAGGGGAGCCCCGGGGAGCCCCGGGGGCTCAGTGACTAAATGCAAGGTGGTGTACTGGGTGGGATCCTGGAAAAGTAGAGGACATTAGCTGACAACAAATGATCTGGGGTGTTCAGTGACTCGGATTGTTCTGACCTGACCTGGGTTCCTTAGTTGTGAAAAAGGCACCACAGTAATGTCCGGTGTTAACAACAGAAGAGGTGGGGCTGGGCCGGGGGCTGCTGCAAGCATGCACTGTCTTTGCAACTTTTCTGTGAATCTAAAACTATTCTAAAGTGAAAGTTTCTTTTTTTTTTTTGAAAGTTTCTATTTTAACAAGTGGGTCATGTGTTTGCATTTCAGGCAATCCCAAGGCCCCCTCTGCGGCCAGCATTTAGATCTGAGCTACTGACTTCGAGGGTGGGCCCTCCCTTGCCCCCACCCTCATTGCCCTGGGCACCATCATCATTTTCAAGCCACAGGAAAACTCCCATTTCTCACCCTTATATGCCCAGCTAGCCTGGCACAGTACGTGGCCCATAGTAGGTGCCTCGTTGATATTTGTCAAATGAATAAAACTTGAGAGGGATTTGTTGAAGGAGGGGACCCAAGCAGAAAGCCCTATGCAGAGCAAGAAGTCAGTACCTGCAAATCAATCCAGAGAAGGGGGTGCCTGGTCAGAGGGGCAGGAGACTTCTCTTGATGCTGTCTTTGGTGAGGAAGCCGGAGATTGACTTAGGATTGTATTGACATTTATTGGGGGCTTTGGGGAGCTGACCCCCTCCCCACCCATGGTGATTCTTCCACTGCCCTCAGCACCCTCAGGGTGGCAAGCTCTGGGCTGTAACATCATCTGCAAAGAAGTTTCAAGCAACAGGCACTGTTTGCTGGGTCTTGAAAGTCCATTGGGGCCTCCCCTGGTGGCGCAGCTGTTGAGCGCTGGGTTGCGAGGCTGCCCGCAGCCTCTGCAGCGCCAGTTGGATACCCGGCCACTGGTGAGGGTCCCACAAAAAAAAAAAAAAAAAAAAAAAAGTCCATTGCCTGCCACCTCGCAGGCCCTTGTGCCCATGTTCATGGTTTCCACGCTTGTGCTGAATCCAGTGTGGAGAGGGGTTCCCTATGACCCCCTGTGCAGTCAGCATTGTCATCATCTTCAGTTTGAAGAAGAGGAAACGGGTCCAAACTGCTTAAGAAACAGCCGTGAGTCGCAATGAGAAAGCAAAGGAGACAAGGTTCAAATGCCAATCGTCTTAAGGCCCAGACCACTGCCCTTTACTCTCCCACAACCGGCGGCCAGTCTGCCTCTCCCAGTGACCCTCGGGCCTGGGCGCCTGCTCCCAGTCTTCTGCAGGGGCTCCCTCTCACTCCTGTGGCTCCCACACAGCAAGCATTTTCAAGTGTTTCCTTGAAGGTGCTTTTTTCCCCTTCAAGGTGCTTTCTGATATTCCTCCCGGCTGTCCGCCTGGACAGGGAAGCAGAATGCAAGAAGATGCGAGCTTATTACAAGCATTCAATTAATGAAGTTTGAATAATGCAGCCTGGATGCTGGATCGATGGATGCCTGTGGGCTTGGAGACACCCTCCCCCACCTCGGGTTTTCAATTGCCTTTTCCATTTTTATTGCTTCTCACCAGATACTTCAAACATATCCCGCGCTTGGTATAATTTGATATCTGCCCAGTCCCCAAAGCGCTTTCTTAACAAATGTTTACCCCAATGCTAGAGTGTATTGAAAAGATTTATATTCCCGTTTGTTGAGTGGAGTCCTCGGGAAAGGCAGGTTGTCTTCCCCGGCCCCGCGGCCTCCAGCAGGATGGTTAATACATCACTTACTAAAATGGACCCAGAGCCTGGGTGGAGGTCTCCCCAGCTCCCCCTTCCTAGCAGAGGCTCCAGCCTCCTAGCCCGCCCCACCCAAGCCCTGCCTCCTTTCTGACCCTTACAAAGGTGGGTGGTAGGCAGAAGGGTCAGAGAACAGAGCCTCAAAACAACCAACGGAAGGAACTTGGAAGGCTGAAGACCAATGGCTGCAGCTAGGACCCAGCCTGGCCTGGAGTCAGAAGACTCTGCGTGCCCATCCTGGACCATGGGCTCTGAGTTCGAGTCCTGCATCAGAGACTTAGCAACTGAGACACCTCATTCAAATTCCTCACCTTCTCTGAGCCCTGCGTGGTCGTGATAACGATAATGCTGACTTCACAGGGCTGTTGTGAGCCGGTCATACACCCAAAGCTCAGTGAATATAGATGTTGCCTGGTCTTTTTAGCCCCTCTGGGGTGCTGCTAATGGGTGTCAATCACTGCTGGTTTCCAGGGTTGCTGGGGCCATTACGTGAGGGAAGGGAAGGGCAAGCACTTTATAATTGCACAGTGCTTTCCTCAGGTGAGTGGTCATTACTCTGGGTGCAAACAGAGACCGTGCCTTCTGGAAGAATCTTCTCTCATGGCTCCAACCCCAAACAGAAGCTGTGCCTGCTCCTGTCTGCGTAGCACCCTTCTGCCTTATGGGGAGATCTCCTGGGGGAGATCCTTGTGTTCAAAGGCCCATAAGCTCCGAAGCACTGGGATTCCTGGGGAGTCAGCAGGGGAGAGCCTGGCTCAGCTGTGAAACAGACTCACACAACTGAGAGAGTCAAGCTGGCCTCCCCAACTGGCCTCCTGGCACAGCCCGCTCCAGCTTGACACCACTGCTAATAATGACTGATAGGATGACGAGCCCTATGAGGAGCTCTGCCGCGTCCTCAGGCGGATCTGGGCTCCCCCTGCCTGGAAGGGGGATGAGACATCACTCCTCCCCCTGGGCCTCTGGAGCCCCCCCTCCAGCCCTGTCTTACCTGATGTCTGAGTCACACTCAGGCTCCTGTCACTGTGAGCCGTGTTGTGACTCCATGCCTGACAGTTTTACAACAAACACATTAAAAGCTCCCAGCACTGGGGCTTCTGGGTGCTAAACAATCCAGAAGAAAAACCTCTCCCAGCCCTTTTTCTGGCAAAATCCTCCCATCCTCTTGTCCCCTAGGGGCCACTCCACCATAACCTTCCCAACCACAGAAAGGGACTGAGGTTTGCTTTTTTTTTTTTTGAAAAGATTTATTTATTTATGCATACAAGAACTAGGGTGTAAGCCAGAGGTGCAGGGCGGGGAGGGGGTGCGGTGAGAGGATTCACCAGAGACAGAGTGGGGAACAGAATAGGTGGATCCACTGAAATACACTGCTGAGGGGAGCAGCGGGCAGGGTAGGAGAGGTCTGCCGCGCCATGTGGGTAGCTCCCTGGCTGGGGATCGAACTCGTGCTGCAGTGGCTGCCAATAGCCTGATAGCGCTGTCTTTAACCCCTGTGATACCAGGGAGGCCCTGCTTTTTTTTTTTTTTTTTTTTAATGAGCTTTTTCCTGCAGTGATTGGAGAAAAGTTGCCAAGTGGGGAGGGCTGCGACCTCACAGCTGTGGGTCCCAGAAAAATCCCACTGGGCTCATCCCCTCAAAGGTACAGGTGCGGCGGACAGGACAGGCACCATTCAGGACAGGTGACCCTGGGAGTTGCGTGTGGCCTCCCAGCAGCTCTGAGATAGGGGCTGCGTTATCTCCACCTTACAGACTTGGAAACTGAGATTTAAAGAAGTGAGGGGGCTTGCTCAAGTCTACAGAGCAGGGAATTGAAGGAGGTGAGATTTGCCTCTAAGTCTGCCAGCCTCCAAACATAGGGCCCCCCCTTGTTCCTGCTCCCCAGAGATGGCAGAAACCTCAGAGGAACAGGGAGAGCCTGCGCAAAGCCAAATGAACTCCAGCCGCTGCACTCCTTTCTCCCATCGCTTCAGCCCACCCTACATAGTGCCCTCCACGCCTTGCTCTGCCTCCAGACCACAACTACAGGTGCCTCCTTCCTCTCTGCAAGCAGCAGCCAAACAGCAAGTCCCCGGGAACCAAGGCAGAGAAAAGAGGAGCGAGACACAGGAACAGTTCTTTTATTGTACATTGGAGAGATAGCCCTGTGTGCTGGTCAAAGGTGCAACATACAGAATATCGAGTTAAGAAAAGAGGGGCCAGGGGAGGGAAGGAAGAAACCTCTTGAGGTCCAAAGTTGCAAACAAAAAATGGTAAAAGATTTCCTCACGCAAGAGGCATTTTTGCAAATACCATGCAAAACAGGCAGCTGGTGTGCCTTAAGAGAACCCTATAAATAACAGAAAAGACACTCCAAGCATTCCTGTACGTGGACTCAGAGCACAGGGAAAAGAAAGGAAACCAAAATGCCTTTTGGCATTTCAAGATATTTGGCACTCTTGTGATTACATTTTTTTTACAGTCCATTAAAGAGAATAAACTGACACAATATTAGAGAAAAAAACAGGCTGCTCACACAACAGACTGCAGGGAGAGGTTAGAAAAAGCTCAAGCATTTTTTTTTTCTTTGTTTTTCATGGGTTTTTTTCCTTGACATATAAAATGTGTCCATTTGCATTAACTTGGGCAAATAGCTTGCAGCGACAAAGAAACACAAGCTTTACAATTCATTTTAAAATAAAACAAGGATCCTTTCTGTGTATCCTTCTTTAGAAAAGTTCTCTTCTTATTTTCAACATGTCCTGATAACTTCAAAAGCTAACCAAAATAAAACAGAGTATCTATAGAGATCACTTTCTGATTTTTTTTGTACATCCAAGGATAACAACATAAAAAAATAAAACTGGACAGCATTTCACATCCAAGTGCACAGAATCATTTTTGCAAGATTAAATAATGTAAACATCCGGAACAGCCAAATCAGCGAAGAATGCCAACACCCCCAAAACACTCGGTGTTGCTGTTTCATTATTTAAGTGGTTCAAAATCCAGATCTATAATTGCGCAAATTCACTGTATAGAAAAAAAAATGGATATTAATTTTGACAAATAGCTGCAACTGAGACTTCTTTTATTTCTTTACACGTGTGTATATAGTGATTTTTTAGATTTTTTTTTTTTTAATTTTTATTTTTGCAGAGAAGCCCAGAGCCGCCTCCTCCTTCTCACGCCTCATCTGTCTCCCGGCCTGACAAGAGACACAGGTTGTTGACTTCATCCTGGGTAGCGAGCTAGTCACCAACTGCAACGTGCTTTCTCTTTTCACGCTTTTTGCCAATAACTGTTACCGCCGTTCTTACTCTTATTCTCTCCCTTAACTCATTGTCTTTGGGGGAGTTAAACACCGGGAGGTGCCTTGTCTGTCATATTTTTCAGCACGTCATCAATCCTATCATCTTCAATAACAACTGCAAAAAAGGGGGGAGAAAAGGAAAAGTGAGCTTGCTGGGGCCCTGCCTGGGGTCTCCACGTCTGGCATTGAGCTGGGTGGGAGGGATCCTGGCCTGTGGACAGCGCCCCATCCACTTAGGCTCGGACTGGGGTCCCTTCGACGCTTTCCTCTGAACCACCCAGCTGCCCCCACCCCCAAGCTGGGTCCCAGAAAGGGAGGCAGGGAGGGCGCAAGTCGCGCTGCCCAGGCTCGCGTGGCCGCGTCCTCACCCCACCGCGCCCCCGGGAAGCGTTTATTTAGAAAGAAGGTGCCCCGGGAGGGGAGGGGGAAGGAGCCGAGGTCTCCCAGTCTGGAACCCCCTGGGATGCCCAGAGCGCGGCGCAGGTAACCAAGGCTGGGCGCCGGCGAGCGGGGCCCGAGGGAGGGCGCCGGGGCCCACGGCGCGCGGCCCGGGAGGGCTCTGGCCTCGCCTGCGCTCTGGCCTCGCCTGGGCCGGCGCCCCCTCGCGTGCGCCCTCTGGGTGCCCGCGGACGCGGCCTCGGCCTCGGCTCCCACTGCGGCCACAGGGGCCGGAGCCTCCCCCTGGGAGGCCGCCCCGCGTCGTCTCCTCCAGCCCCGTCCGGCTCCGCCGGGACTCGCCCTCGCAGCCCCTCGCCCGCCCCGGCGCGTTGGTCCCCCGCGAGGGCTCCGGGGCTCCGGCCGGGGGCGGCCGCCCGCGCCGCGCCAGCTGCTTCTCCGCCGCTCCCGGACTTTCGCCCCCGGCTCGCGGGCTCTCCCGCCCGGCCCCTCTCCGAGCTTTGTCTCGGCTGCTGCCCATCTCGACCCTCCCCCGCCCCCACCCGCCTCCCCCGGCTCCGCGTCTCCGTCTCTCCCGCAGCTGTCGGTCTCCCCCATTGTCCCCGCGCCCCGGGGCTCCTCGCCGGCCCCCGCCCGGTCCCTCCGGGGCTTTCCCAACTCCGCGCCCGGCGCCCGCCGGGCAAACCCTCCCCCGCCGAGTACAATGAACACCCCGCGCGGCGCGAGAGCCCCTCTCCTCCCCCCGGAACGGGGTCCTCCCCCCCAGCTCCCCGCTCCGTCTCTTGGGGAGCCCCGGGGACCCCTTCCCCTGCTGGGGAGCGAGCGCAGCTGCGCCCACACTGCGCAAAAGGGGCGGCGGGGGGATCAAAGGGCGAACTTGGGCGCGGGCGCGACCTCCCGGGCCCCGCCGCCCCCAGAAGCCGCCACGCCCCCCGGCGACCCCCCGAGACGAGGCCGGGCCGGGGGTTCCCGCGGCCGCGGCGAGCCGGACCCGCAGTGCGGGATCCCGCCGTTCTGCGCGCTGGGACGCCACTGGGTCGGAACCGGCTCCGCGCGCGAGACCCCGGCGGGGCTCCGCGGGCCTCGCCGCCGGGAAGGGGGTGTCGGGAGCGAACCGCGGACTCACCCCGCTTGCTCCGGCCGATCTGGCCCAGCTTGGGCGGCCGCTTGTTCTGCGCGGCGCCGAAGAAGTTGCTGGAGTCCTGCAGGCGGCAGGAGAAGATCTGGCCCACGTCGCCGCCGTCGCCGTAGGGGCTCAGCTTCTCGTCGCCGAAGGGCAGCACCTCCGACATGGTCGCGTCCGGGGGCCCCGCGGCGGCGCCTCCTCCGCCCGCGTCCCCGCCCGCGGAGGTCAGGTCAGCGGCGCTGGGGCCGGGGCGGCCGGCCGGGACGGCCCGGGGGCGCGGGCAGGGCGAGGGCGCGGGGCGAGGCGCAGCCGCCGGGCGGCCGGGAGCGCCCACAGCTGCCGCGCTGCGCTGCGCTCGGCGGGCGGAGTGGCGGCGGCGGCGGCGGGCGCGGGACTCGCCTCCTCGGCGCGGCGCGGCGCGGCGCGGCGCGGGCGGGGCCGGGCGGGCGGGGCCGGAGCCGGGAGGGGCGGGCGCCCGGCGGGCCCGAGGGCGCGGGGCCGGGGCGCACCCGGGGAGCGGCGGGCAGGGCGGGCGGCGGCGCCGGCTCGCGGAGGCTGACTGGGGAGCGCGCCGCGGGCGGCGGGCGGCGGGGGGCGGGGGCGGGGAGGCGGGGGGAGCCGGGGCGGCCGGGAGGAGCGCGGAGACGGGGCCGCGGGCGGGCGGGGGGCGCGGCGGGGGGACGCGCGGGGGCGGGCGCAGGGGGCGCGGAGGGACGGCGGGCTCGGGTCGGACGGGCAGGGCCGCGGCGGGCGCGGGGGGCGGAGGCGCGGCGGGAGAGGAGGTCGGCGCGGGGAGGGGGCGCGCGAGGGGCGGGGAGGCTGGGGCCGAGGGCCCGCGCGCGGGGGGCGGGGGCGCGGCGCCGGGCGGGGGGCGCGCGGGGCCCCCGGGCCCGGGAGAGATCCCGGGGGGCCGAGCGACGTCACGGGGCCGCGCGGGCCGGCCGAGCCGCGGCCGCCTTCCTGCCCCCGCCCCCCGGACCCGCCGTCCCGCCCGCGCGGAGGGGCCCCCCGAGAGCCCCGCCCCGGCCGGGCGGCCTCCGGGCGCCGCCCCCCCGCCCCCCCCGCGGGTGTTTACCCGGCCCGGAGCCGGTGCGCGGCGGCGGCTCGCCGGACCCTCCGCCCGCGGGGAGCTGCGGGGACTCCGGGAGCGGGGTGGGGGGCAGATGCCGGGGCAAAAGGTCGGAGGGCGGCAGAGACACCTGCAGACAGGGCCTTCGCCTCCAGCCGCGAACTGGGGAACCCCTTCCCCCCACCACCACTCTTGTGCCTTCCCTTCCCCCCACCACCACTCTTGCGCCCCAGCTCGAAGTCTCAGGGCCGAGCCTCCTGGGCCTCGCACGCTCCCTCCCCCAAGGCGCCCTCCCTCCTCGGCCCTGCTCCCCGCCCGCCTGGGAACTCGGGCTCCCGCGGGGCCTCTGGGTGGGGCGGCCGAGGGGAAGAAGGGACAGCCCCGCCTCCCGGAGGAGAGGGGAGCGCCTCGTTACGCCGGGCTCCCGGGATGCCCAGCTCTCGGCGTCTGTTGCCTCCGCCGGGGATGTCCCGGGCCTGCAACCCTCTGCCCTCGGGGACCTCCCTGCCAGCAGCTGCCAGGAGCCCCGCGGAGAGGCTGTGGCTTCTGAGCCGAGGAGCGAGGCCAATCCCGGGAGGGAGGTTGGCAGATACTTGGCAGATGGTAACTCCAAGGGGCACGGTGCGAGAGGAGGGTTCATGTCCTTGTCCAGCACCAAGCGCACCTGCTCCCTCGCCGCCGGCCACCTTCCTTCTGCCGAGCTAACCTGAACACAGAGGGGAGCGGCCATCCCAAGGTCATGCAACCTGAGAGGCCCCCTGGTGAGGTCTCCACGGGCTCAACCTGCTGCCCGGCAAGGGGGCTCCATCAACAGAAGCCACACCCTCAGATTGAAACCCCCCCTTACATCTAGAACTCTGGGGGTCGAGCGGGCTGGGGGGAAAGGAACTTGGTTTCTTGGTCATGGGTCGGTTGGTTGCTTGGGCCTTTTCAGTGACATAACATGGGGAGAGGCACTGCCTGAGAGGAGCGAGCCCAGGCGCCTCTCCAAACTGTAAAAAGGTTTTCCTGGCCTCTGGACCACCTTGGGCCGCAGGGGAGGAAAGAGGCTTCTCACAAACAGGAGGCACTGTGGCAGATGGAAAGGGGTGACCTTTGGACTCGGGCCTGGGTTTGTATCCCAGTCCTGTCATTTCCTAGCTGTGTGACTTTGGGTGGGGCAGGTCCGTCTCTGAACTTCCATAATCTCTGCTGTAAAATGGGGTATGTGGCCGGCGGCCTGTGTGCCAGACCAGGCTGCTAGGGAAACAACATGAAACGGGGCTCCTAATGCCTGGCAGTGAGTGGATGTGTCCAAGACATCTGAGAAGTGACCCAGTGAGCGATAAAGAACAATAACGCTTCATTCATGGCTATTTCAGAGCTGGCAGAACCAGGAGGGCCCCTGGGGATGATGAGCCCAAGCCCCTCGTTGACAAGTGGGGACCCTGACCCTGGAGGGGGAGGGGCTGGCACCAAATCCTGTAGCTAGTCAGGGGCAGGCTGAGCAGCAGATCTCAGCCTGTCTTCGTGCTCCTCCACCAGCAGCCTGTCTCCATTCATTAAGGCTTCACTTCCTGAGTGTTTGCTTTGAGGTTAGCACCAGGCCAAGTGCTGGGAGAGAAACAAAAGCATAACAAGCAGGATGATAAAATTACAAGAAGCGCTTGCGTTTGTATCAAGCTTTCTATTTCCCCCCAAAGCATTTCCACATCCATTCTTGACCTTGCTCTCAAAATAAATGGGCTTTGAGGTAGAAAGAGGAGAATCCCTGTTTAACTGATGCAGCAGAAAAGGATAAGTGACTTGCCAAGGTCACGGGCTAGTGGAGGAGCCGGGAGACAGCACTCTCCCCAGCTGTGATTCCAGGGGATGCCCTGCGGTGGGGACAGCTTGCAGGCCTGAACCACCCCTCCTCTGGTGCACACCTGATGGCTTCCTATCTGCGGAGTTTTAAAGCCAACTTGTGTGCAGAAAGGAAAGCAGAGGTATAGAAAGGATGGAGGGACCCCCCCGACACAGGTCAGAGTAAGAAGAGAAGTTGGGCTCTACACCCCGTCTGTTCTTATGTTTACCTCATCTTGTCCCGAATAAGTTTAAAAGATGGCAGCATCAACTTTCCCAAAGCAGTACCCACTCACCCCCGACCAGAGCACACAACCGTGCCAGGCACATGGCGCTTCACAGTTTTTTCAAGCATTTCGGTGATTATTAATTATTAATTAGAGCCTTTCAGAGTCTTCATGCCACAGGACCTGTACGATTAGACCCATTTTACAGATAAGGTCCCTGAAGATTGAGTGATGTCTCCTCCAAGATCACCCAACTCCACGCCAAAACCTTTGCTCATTCCTCCATTTCTTCCAGTCTTCCATGGAGCATCCCTCATCCTGGAGCCCCAGACCCAGATCAGCAGACATGTGCCCATTCCTGCCTCCCCACACCTCCTGAAGTGGGTCCAGATGGAGTGGCGGGTGCCCAGCCTTCCACCCAGCAAGGCAACCTTGCAGTGCTCGGTCCAGCGCAGCAGCCCAGGGTGACGGGGGCAGCCAAGCTCAAATCCCTGCTCTGTGGTTTCCTAACTCGATAATCCTTTTGCTTCCTTGTGCCTCAATTTCCTCATCTATCATTTGGCTATAATTGTTCCTCCTGGCAGGAGTGTTCCAGGGAACGACCTCAGGTGTATATCACACGCCTGGCACATGGTAAGTGCTCCGTCAACATAGGTGTTAGTATGAGCTATCTACTCCCTTTGTGGCCTTGAATAGGTTGATTGTCTTCTCTGTGCCTCAGGATTTACATCATAAAGTTCTCATTTGGGAAGCTGGAGTAATTTATTTTTTCAGCTGCAAAATCAACCAGTTCTCACAAATGTAAAGTAGATAAAGCCTGCCTGTGGCAAAGGTGGGATTCCCTGCTCCTCCACCCCCCCCACCCCCCCATCAACCTCTGAAAGCTCCTTCCCCAAACCCTAGGGATCTGTAGAAGTGAGAACCACAGGACTGGCCCTTCTCCACAGGCCTTGCGGCAGACATCCCAGGGCCCTAGGTATGTCTGCAAGTTCCTGCTCTGGCTGAGCCCCCTAGTGCTGGTAGCATGGACTAGAAAAGGGGGGAGGTCATCCCCATCAGCGCCCAACACAGAACAGATGCTCAGCACACACATCAACCCCCATTGTTCCCTTCCCCTCTCTCCTCTCCAAATGTGGAAACTGAGGCCAAGGAAACAGCATCAGAGAATGACAGCAAGACTTAAGAGAACACGTGGCTGGTAGAGCCTGAGCCCCTGGTGCAGGGGGCCAGCAGCTCGGGCCAGGGGTCTCGGAACGATGCTGGGAGTGCTGAGCCTTGTCCGGCTGGCTCAGGCCCTAGCCGGTCAGAAGGGAAGGCCAGGATGCGGCCCCATGTCCGTGCCAGCTGGTCACCTCCAGAGGGGCTAAGTGGCCTCCCAGCAGGGGTCAGCACTCTGAGCCAAGTCTGGACAGAAATTCACCTCACACCCACTTCCTCACTTCCTGAACTTGGGTGCGGCCAGTCCCCCACCTGCCAGGAAAGGTCCCCAACACCACCACACATACACACAGACACATCCGTGAGCGAAAAGTGTGGTCACTGCTGGAGGTGGCTTTGACCTGGACTCAAAGAATGTTAGTGGAAGAACCGTGTGTCTTTCTTGCACTCAGCAAGCATTTGTTGGGAGCTTTTTGGCGGCTACACTCCTTTCTCCAATACAACCCAAGGAGTATGAGCTTCTCTTCTCTGGGTAATCACCAAGCCCCTTTCTGCAAATAAAATCTTACAAGGAATGTTGAGATAAAAAATAAAGGCACATTTTTGGGGAAGAAAGGAGCTCAGGGCCCCCCTTTCTGCCTCCTCATACTCCAGTTGGTCCCCAAAAGGCCTCTAAAGAATGCCCAGACTGCCACATGGTTCAGGTTGAAATCACCCCTAGAGTTCACCTAGCTCACCCCCAGTGTGGATGGGGAAAGGGCCTAGGTGGGGCGTGCAAGGCCCAGGTCTCCCGGCCCGGGGCTCAGCGCTCACCACTGCGCCACACAAGCACTCAGGACAGTGGCAGGGAGCCCTGGCCAGGCACAGTGGGTCAGAAAATAAAGGGATTTCTTTCATCAGTGAAGTTTGTTGTGTGTCTTTAAGGTA